AAAAAAATAAAAAAAATAAAAAATAAAGGTAGATGACCACTGTCTTCTGGCTTGAAAAGTTTCATTAGAGAAGTCTGCAGTCACCCTGGTGGATTTGTCTCTGTAGGTCAATTGGCTCTTACTACTGGTAGCTTGCAGAATCTTTTCTTTTGTCTTGACTTTGGACAGGTTCATCAAAATGTGTCTTGGAAAAGCTCTATTAGTGTTGAGGTGACTTGGGGCTAATATCCCTCTGAAAGGAGTGTGTCAGAATCTTTGATGATATTTGGAAATTTTCATTTATAATATTCTCTAGTATGGCTTCCATTCCCCTGGGGCATTCTTCTTCTCCTTCTGGGATACCTATAATTCGTATGTTTGAATGCTTCACAAAGTTCCATGATTCTGCCAGTGAATGTTCTGCTTTCTCTCTCTTCTTTTCTGACTCTTTAGCTATCTGAGTTATCTCAAGAGCTTTGTCCTCTATCTCTGAGATTCTTACTTCTGCATAGTCTAATCTGTTGTTGATTCTATTGCATCTTTAAGTTGACTAAGTGACTGTTTCAGTTCCTTCAGCTCTGCTATATCCTTTCTATATTCTGCATATCATTCATCTCTTATTTGATTCTGTTTTTGGATTTCCTTTTGGTTATTTTCCACTTTATCAGCAATTTCCTTCATTGTTTTCGTCATCTATATTTTAAATTCCCCTTCTGTCATTTATAACATTTCTTTATAGGTGGAATCCCCTGCAGTACCTACCTCCTGGTCCCTTGGGGGCTGGGGGTTGCTCTGAACTGGTTTTTCATGTTGCCAGTATTTTTCTGCTGATTCTTCCTCATGAGTGTTTTCTTTTATCTGTTTCCTTGCCCTAATTTTCCTTTCACTTCCTCTTGCTCTTTAATTTACCATGACATTGGACTAAGATTTTGGTACAGGACCAAAAGGATGAGAAGATTGAAGAGCAAGAAGGGAAAAAAGGTTAAGAAAAAGAAAAAAGAGAAAGGAGACAGGGTGAGTAAAAGGGAATACTGACAAAAAGATGTGAGGCACAGAAAGAGGGAGACAGGAGTAATAAAGGTGTACAGTAGGGTTCTTTGACCCACCCTTAAAAACCCTCAACCTCTGGGGGTGCTGGGTTGGGTGGTTCCTTTGAGGTCAGCCGTCTCCAAATAAAGAGAAAAGACAAAAATACTAAAAATCAAACCAAACCAAACAAACAGAAAACCTTATGGCAGTGGTTCTCAACCTTCCTAATGCCATAATGTATTTTCATTGTTAAAAAGCAATCACATCCCACAGGTTGAGAACTGCTGCCTTACAGGATAAAATTGGGGGGAAACCAAATAATAGGGGCAGGAACACTAGCAAAAATTAAGCTCTTACTATTAAAGAGGGCAACAATGGAAAATTATATTTAAACTAGAAAAATGAAGAAAGAAAAGAAGAAAAAAAAGAAAGAAAAATCTAGAAGGAAAATGTTGACATTAAAAAAAAAGCAGTATATAAATCTTGCTGACTATTGTCTGGTGTCTGTGCAACAGGTGATCTTCTGGGGTATGAGGTGTTAATCACAATACTGATATAACTGTATGAAATGGAGACTAAAGGTCCCTGTTGATTTCTCAAACCCTGCTGGGTTGAAAGCCTAAATCTCTCCTCAGTCCACTTAAAAGACACTTTAAACTGTTAACCTTGGCTAGGCAGAAGCTTTCCTAGGAAAGCACTTATAGCTGGGATCTTTCCTGAAGTGGCTACCCACTTGTCCAGTGCTCCAAAACCAGTCTCACTGTATGCCCCTGATGGTCAAAGTTGCAAGGTAGCCTTTCTACTACCAAACCCTGAACCCTCTGCTCTTCCCCAGCTTTTCAGGCCTGGCCTTTGGCCTGCTCGGTCCACAAGATCACTCGCCCAAGGTCTCTCAGTCTGAGCCTAGCTCTGTGACCCTGAGGGCAGAGCCTGCAGGGCCAGATCTTCCACAATGGCTGTATGGGCTCACAGCTGAAGAATATTAGCTCCATTCCAGCTCCACAGCACAATCCAGGGCCTTAGCCAATGCTTAAAAGTCATCCACACTCTTGCCCAAGTTCTCCTAAGCCCACAAAAAACAAAACAACCCATAGGAAAGGACTTTCCTATTTGGAATCTTACTGCTGTTGTTGATACAGCAGTGGCAGCCACAACCCGAATGCAACCACTTGCCCATTCTCCACTACTTTTGTCCTCCTCCTGGGGTCCTGAAGTCTCTTGCTGTCTCCCTGTGTCCCCAAGGGGATGTTTCTGGGCAGAGCCCACAAGCCAGAGATGCCTGAAGTCTTTTCTCCCCAGTCTCACTGCACCTGGTTGCAAAGAAGCTGTTACGGCTGCCATCTTGCTAATGTGAGTTTTTAAAAACAAGCATCCATACCAGTGTGGGTGGCATGGGAGGAAAGGAGGATAGTGTGGTAGAAGGAATTCTGCTGTATTGGTAATAAAGTTCCAAGTTCATCCCATCATGGATTTCATAGTCCCATAGAGACATGTGGTCCTTAAAAATCATGTAGCACTTCTTAAGTTCAATCTTGTTCCAATGGATGCCAGTTTGGGCTGCAATCAGCTTCTTAAGGTCCCCAATGGTGTCATCATTGGTGTTGCATTTAACTCGGACCTTCTTCCCCAGACAGTCATTGTAAACAACCTCTATCATCCTGGCTGGAGCTCCCACCAATCCCGGAGCCAGGTCCTGCCAGCTTTCCCTGATTCCGGGCTCTATTTTTGTTTTGAAGCAGAGTCTCATTCTGTCACCCTGGATACAGTGCCATGCCATCATAGCTCACAGCAATCTCACTTGGGCTCAAGCAATCCTCTTGCCTCACCTTCTCAAGTAGCTGGGACTACAGGTGACTGCCATGACCCCAGTTAATTTTTTTCTATTTTTAGTAGATACAAGGTCTTGCCCTTGTTCAGGCTGATCTTGAACTCCTGAGCTCAAGCAATCCACCCACCTTGGCCTCCCAGAGTGTTAGGATCATAGGTATGAGCCACTGCATCCAGCCTAATTTTTTTTAATATTAAATCTTTATTTAAAGTTTCTGGAAAATGAGTTACTTTTAACTGACCTACTAATATGAAGATCTCAATTGCTAGACATGCAGACTGGTCAATAGGAGTTAACTTGCTCTACCATGTATGGGCTCTATGCATGTTGCCAGATTATTACGTTTCCTCCCATATGAAAATTTTTCTGGTTTGGCGCCTGCAGCACAGTGGTTATGGTGCCAGCCACATACACCAAAGGTGGCGGGTTTGAACCCAGCCTGGGCCAGCTGAACAACAGCTAAAACAACTGCAACAAAAAATAGCCAGGCATTGTGGCAGCAGCCTATAGTCCCAGCTACTGAGGCAAGAGAATCACTTAAGCCCAAGAGTTTGAGGTTGCTGTGAGCTGTGATGCCATAGTACTCTTCTGAGGGCAACATAGTGTGACTCTGTCTCAAGTTTTTCTTTTTCAGTTTTTGGGCAGGGCAGGGTTTGAACCCGCCACCTCCGGTATATGGGGCCTGCGCCCTATTCCTTTGAGCCACAGGTGCTGCCCCTAAAAAACCTTTTTTACCAAAAGTTTCATAAAGTCCTCCTTTACATCTCCTTATGGTACATACATCGAAAACACCCAACACTGACAGATACTTCCTTCTGTGCCAAATTTTGAGAACCTTCTCTAGGTTCAGTGCAATTAAATACATTAAGAACAAACTGACTTGGCGCCTGTGGCTCAAGTGGCTAAGGTGCCAGCCACATATACCCAAGGTGGTGGGTTTGAATCCAGCCTGTGCCCGCCAAACAACAATGATGGCTGCAACCAAAAAATAGCGGGCATTGTGGTGGGCACCTGTGGTCCCAGATACTTGGGAGGCTGCGGCAGGAGACTCGCTTGAGCCCAGGAGTTGGAGGTTTCTGTGAGCTGTGATGCCATAGCACTCTATCCAGGGGGACAACTTGAGGCTCTGTCTCAATAAAAGAACAAACATTCTTACCAGCTCTACTATGGGCCTTTCCTCCAATTGGCCTGTTACACCAGGACATCAAATCTCAAGAGATAGGTGACTTTCCAAAAGTCGCCTTACCTAAAAGTTACCAGGCTCCTTGTTCAGAGCTACTCATACATGATGGAACTTGAGGTATTACCTAACCCATTTCTTCATCTGCAAAATGGGAGAATGGAATATACCAAATTTGTGAGAATTAAATGAAAAAATGAACATGAAACATCTGTTACACTGTCCTGTCACCACCAGCGTTGTCCACTGCATTAACTCCTATGCCAGTGCATAGACACATGGTTGCTGTAAGTTAGTTAAAATACAAAGGGTGCCAAAAAAAAGTATACACATTTTAAGCAAAGCAAAAATGATTAAAATTGTAATACTGCATATATGCTGATCACAAAAGATAAATAAAAGTCACATTTGACTTCTGCAATTATAAGAGGTGTTCAAAGTGGTTATCAATGTCCAGACACTTCTGATTATAGAGAACTACTGCCTGAGCAGTGTTGACCAAAGTGTCCACTTATATCACTACACATGTCCTTTCAATTTCTTCCTGAAGTTCTACCAGTGTAGCTGGTTTTCTATGGTACACTGCATCAGGTAAGGTCTCCCATAGGTAGAAGTCAAGGGGTGTTAAGTCAGGGAGACCGCGGGGAAAACTCAACCACACCTCTTCACCCTATCCATTTCCTAGCAAGTTCTCCTCAAGGTAAGCTCTCACATCTTGGCGGAAGTGCAGAGGGGCACCATCTTGTTGGAAGTAAAATGGATCATCCCCCAAAAGTGTTCAAATTTCAGGTAAAATGGATGTGCATAGCATGTCTAGGTACACTTGACCGGTAACAGGACCTTCAAAAAAGAATGGTCCAATTAGTCCCCTAATGACAGCCCACACTAGATATTGAGGCCCAGTAAATAGACTTCTTTTTCCACATGTGGATTTTCTGGAACCTAATACACACAATTATGTTGGCTCACTATTCCATTCAATTTGAACTGTGCTTCATCAGACCAAAGCATTTTCCCCACAAACTCCTCATCCACTTGTACCATGTTTTGGATCCACTTATAATATCAAAGCCTGGCTCGGCGCCTGTGGCTCAAGCGGCTAAGGCGCCAGCCACATACACTTAAGGTGGCGGGTTCGAATCCCCAG